CACCATGTTTCATTGCATGGGGTTGGTGTTAGTTTTCTGCAACATTTTGCTGTCCTTCTTATAAATGTTTGCTGTTTTTCTTCATAGCTAGGGGCTCATTACCAAAGGAGTTTCTTTCAGTAATAATTCTATTCATGTGACTTTTGCATAAAGGCCAGATTTGAAGTGAACAGTGATACTATCCCCAGATTCCTATCTAAGCTGTGAATCTCTGCAGCTTCTTCCAGCTTCATTTGGCTGCCAGTTTAAATGAACACTCTTGAGGATGCTGTCAATTTATTTATATTGTACTAAACTCTATTTATACAGAGATTAAGTTACAGAGAGTTGGCATTTAATTAGACGTTTTACCAAATGTTGGTTGCACTGGATTTTATTTTGGGGTAGGAAAAAAAAATCTGTTGGGCTCTTTTTTTTTGGCATCAAGACAATTATTCGAATTGCCACATTGCCAGACAGGACACTGTTAAAGAAATAAAATAAAAATAAATAAATGTATTTTAATATCCTCGGATGCATACTATGTCATATGGGAGAATATTATACCAATGAACCACAGTGATTGTATTTTTATACTTTCTGTTGTTATGTAAATGTTACTGGTTTCAGTTTTAGCACCAGGGACAGCACCACCGTTCACCAAACAGCTACACAAGAACGCCTCTCTCTCAAATATGAAAACGTGCTTTCCATGTGAGCGTGGAGGGTCAGAAACCCACCCACACATCCACCCACCCACCCTGCCAGCCACCTACACCCCACCAAACTACCACCCCTTCTTCTGTTTTTCCTCCCTCCCTGTTGAACGGGAAGCACAGGCAGTCATTGAGGTTTGGACGCCCCTTCGGATGCTCAGGCGAAGCGGGGAGGGGGCTGCTGCGGATCTTTATACCTGCCACAAACGAAGCCCCCAAAAAGGGGAGCCTCTGCGTTCGCCTGTGCTAATTTATCTTTTTTTTTTTTTTTGTTCTCTGCCTCCCCCGCTGATGGTATTATATATTTATATTTTTTTCCACGCTGAAAAGAGTCTGGTTTCGTAACGTATCAGTGCAGCGAGGGGAAAGACAGGGAGAAAAAAAAATTATCATTTTTTTCCTCCAAGGATGCGGATTTAAAGGAGAGACGTTATCAGCGTCACCTGGGAGATTTTTAAGATTTGAAATTAGCTTATATAGCCTCGCGTGCGATAGAAGAAGACGAATTTATTTTTTTTCCTTTTTTTATATTGTTTTCTTTCATTCCCAGTGAAATTTCCAATTTATCGACGTTACAGAAAAATAGCCGACTGTCTGTTTTATAAGAAGAAAAATAAGCGGTAAGTGGGATTTTTTTCTCTTTTTTTTGACTACTACCATCAGGCTGCCCACAATAACAAAGCTGATGAGAAGAGAAAAAAAAGGTCCGAAATTCAGGTAACTGCTGCTAGCTTGCCGTTAGCTTTTTAACTCAATAGGTAACGGTTTTGTGTCGCTTTTGTTCAAATAAATCGTACATCCTCTCTCACGCTAGTTGTCTTGTTGGGGAACCGTATGGCAGCCCCGCTTTCCAGTAGTTTATAGGGGAGCTATGTGGCTTTAATGTGTGTGTCTCCTCGCCTTTGTTTCATGTCAAACGCAGCCACATTTTCATCTGCGTGTCTGTGAGCAAACCCAGCCTGTGGCTCTTTGGATTCAGACATCTGCTGCTAAACCAGCCTTGTTGCTTTCCCCTGGTTATTTAGGTCTATTTCCCCCCTCCTCAGATTGATGGCTTGTTGCAAAGCTGCCTTTTTTCCCTCTTTCAACACAGATTGTGTTATATAGGACTGAGATTTATGCTGCGAGCCCTGGCCTAGACTGTGTGACTCATTATGGATGTAAAGAGTTTTAGATAAAATGAGGCTTTATGCTAAAGCAGCTGCATTTAAAGCCTGATGAGTACTTTGTTTTTAAATGTGCATGTTTGCCACATTTCTGTTAATAATTAATCAGTGTAGTAATAGCTCAGATCTGTACCACGTGTAGAAGAGGACACATAAACCCAATAAAAGCTGCTGAGGTAATGATGTGTTTTTTTTGTATCATACTAGTTAAGGTTTACCCACCTCCTATGATCTGAAAAACCCCCCACTTAAAGTTGTTTTAAATCACAGATATCTACTTTGATGAGGCTTGATGTCAATTTTCTGGAGATCAGTGTGTGTTTAGGGTAAAACTTAGTAGTAGTTAGCATTGCAAATGTTATGATAATTTAATGTTTGTCTTTACTAAATCCAGCTAGGGTTGGGTATACTTTTAATGTCATGATGCAGTATTTTAATCACCATCCCCCCATCTCATTCACTCATTGAGACCTGGAAGCTGCTTTAATGAAGCCTTTGTTTACACAATAGTCAGAAAAAAGTGCAGTGACTTAATATTATTTCATTATATCAGCAGTGATTTTTTCTACTTCCCCCTCTGTCACCAAAAGTACTTGAAACAAATCCCTGTGACTTTTAACATACCCTGAAATCCTGTTAGTTTTTGATTTCCTCTACATTTTTCTGTTTTTTATGTACTGTTGCACAGAGGAGACAAATGTTTCTGTTGCTTTTTGATTGACATTATACCGTCCAATGCAATTAATTGTAAGATTACATGATTTATATATTAAAATTTTATACCATATGTGACTTAGTATATCTGATTTCAATTATTCAAAAAGGTTAATTGATGTAAGAGCTGTTGGTTTATGCATTATTGACCAAGAATGTTGGACGTTCTTTAGTTTGGTGTTTTTAAAGTGAAAAAGAAAATCAGATTGTTTTGGTATTGAGCCCGCTTCTAGCAAAAGAGGAGAAAAGTGATTGATTCCTTTTATTAGTGTGATTGATATGTGAGCCTTTTACTCCTCCATCTTTCCTTTTGATCTGGAAAAAGGTTTCTTTAGATCATGTTTCTCTCTGTTGCACACATTTGGAAACCAAGCTTGATCTGTTATAATGATGGCAGCGATTTAAAACTAAGACGACTGTTTTTCAATGTTAACGATTTTAAAGATTACTCCTATTTATGCATTAAAGATGCATGGTCACATTATGACTTTTTTATTTATACTCCAGTTGTTCACTTTCGATGCATACAAAGTTTTAAATTCAAGTTTTAAAATGAATTCGTCCTGCAGGTATACTATTTATTTTTGTGTTTTCCACTTTATTTTGGCTGTTTGTTAGTAAATAAAGTGTTTTATCTATATTAACAATAACAATGGAGGTATAATCCTCTGACATGGGAGGCTCGGAGCTCGTCTGCCTGGCTGTGTGTTTCCTGAACGGGGCCGCCTGTGGAGCTGGTTGACAGTTGACTTTTGTATCTCTGCTTGTTTTTCTATCTTTGCTTCTGTCTCCTTGAACCCCAGTCGGCCTTGGCAGAGGGCCGCTCACAATAAGTCTCGTTCTGCTGGAGGTTTCTTCCTGTTAAAAGGGACTTTTTCCTGTCCACTGTTGCTACAAGCATGCTTGGTTGAGGGATTGCTTTCTAGTCAATGAGTCGATGCAAACAGCTGGTTCTTCCTTATATAGAACACTTTGAATCAATCTGACTGTATGATCTGATTGAAGAATTGTCTCTGTAAAGTGCCTTGAGATGATGTGTTGTGAATTGGCACTAAATAAATAAACTGAGTTGAATTGAATAAATGCTGCACAGGTGTGCTGGGGGTAAACGAGGAAGTAGCTAACCATGGCTAAGCGAGTTAGCACCTCGCAGCGAAGGAAACAAAAAGCAAAGAATGAAAATCCAGAGTGAAAAAATACAAATTACCATTTAATTAGAAGAGGGATAAGACTCGAATAGTGCTAGGTTTACTGTACAAAAGATTATGTTCACTGACACGAGAGGCACTGGTGTGGAGGCATTCAGATATGGTGATACTCGGGTACCAATCAACCATTAAACTAAATGTCCTTATTAATACTGCTACTAGTGATAGCAATGCTGTTCTTAGCCTCTACAGCCTAAGTGCAAATGACATTATAAACCTAATAATCTAACCCTAACCCTAATAATTGGTTCTTACCTTGATGCTGTTTCACTGTTTGTTTTTATTAGGAACAGGATTTTTTTTTGTCATCCTTGATGTTCTGAAAGTAGGCTCTGGGGAGGATTCAGAAGATTCATTGGAACTAAGAGTTGCTGTGGATCAATTTATTTAACCATATGTTGGTCTTCGACCACGCCAAAGACATGTCACTTGACTGCATGCCAGGACATTCAGGCTCTGTTATGTAACTGCCTCAATTGGCTCTATGCACAGCTCCACTACTTCCTGAATTTAATGCAGCTCCTTTGTTTCCTGTCTTTCATGATTGGATGCACTGATTAATCCAGGTGTGTATGACCTAAGTAACTGGCCAGACACACCTGGATTAATCAGTTCGTCCAGTAATGAAAGACAGGAAACAAAGGAGCTGCATTAAATTCAGGAAGTAGTGGAGCTGTGCATAGAGCCCATTGTCACCAACTGGCTTTCAGATAGTTCTGCAACACTCCCTGCAGATGGCGCCACATCTGTTTATATTGGCTTATCGTGCCGGGTGTTGGAATTCCATTTAGGCTCAAAAAGGACTATCTGAACACTATCAGGAAAGACGCTTGGTGTATATAACCTTACTTAATCAGGATCAAATGATTTTTGGTCTTTTCTTTTTAGGCATATAATGTTCCTATGTTCCTTGAACAGTAATGGGTATAATACCTTTATAATTTTATTAAACTCCATACGTTGCATCAAAGTAAGGCACTCAGTAAATGCATTTATAGACCCAACTGTGAAAGGTCTTAGTTTTGATGCAAATAATGAAAATCATGTGATGCTTTGGTTATTCAGCAGAACTGATCAAAGGAAAACTATCGGATTCTGATCTCTGGCTGATTGATTCTGTTTTATAGTCACTGCTAAAGCACACATCCGTTTATAGTATATGAAGTAGTGTAACTTGTTTGTGGTCTAAATCTTATGGAGACAGTGGAGCAATCAAGCATTGTTTTGATCAAAGAGCTAAATGTATTTGTGGTTGAAGGATTAAGAAACTTTTTGATTTCTGTGTGATAGCGTATCAGCTAACAATCCTTGGGTTGGACTCCATTACTAACCCTGTAAGCATGTTTTAGCTTCTCTACACCGAACAAAAACTAACGTCTCCTCAGAAACATAAACGTCTGAACGTCGTTCAGTTTAGAAAGGCAGATATGCCGATTTTCTACCAAGTCTATTAAATTGGAAAATCTAATCAGTTTATATGGTGTTTTTAATAGCATTAATCTGTATGAAGTATCAATTCTCTTGCATTATGAATACTCACTATTAGTAAGAATTTGGATCCCAGAGTGACTTAATTGATGTTGAGGTGTTATTTCTGAAGAGGCTTTTATGTCTTGCATATGACAAATCATTTCAAGTCTTTTTCAGTTTCTGAAATGTAAATCTTCTGTCCATATACCGGTATGTATTTTTTGTGAATGTTAGCTTACATAATGCCACTAGAGGGCAGCATAATGTCTTTTTGTTGCTGTTTGCTCACCTGCTTGAGCTGACATGCCTTTGATGCTGTGCCCATAGGACTATAAATTTAGTCCTTACCACAGGCAATGTGTTCAATATTTAAGAAAACTTTAAAGGTTGCGGTTGGAGTCTTTGCTGAGTAGCCTGTTTTGATGTACAAAAAAAAAAAACAACAACAAAAAAACCCTATAAAGTATTGAAAATATTCTGTAAATGTCTATCATAACCTAAATGGCACTTAAAATAATTTATTGGCCCCAGTGAAAAACGTGTTACTTTTATGACCAATCCAACCTTCCAGTTCAAACATCATCATTTGGCATCTCTTCACCGGAATGAACTCAAGATAAAAAATCTGCATTTATTGAATTTTGAATATAGGAGAGAAAACATTGGCAGATATGACTTGATTAAATTAAAAATTCATAATTATCTTATAATTTCAACTATATTTATAGTTTATAAAATGCACACATTGCCTAATAATTATATATTTTGATTTTAACTTCCTAAAATGTGACTGATATGTGAAATAAACATGTTTTAATAACTTTCTGCATGTTGAGTCCACCCTTTGTTTTCAATTCATATTTTACTTTATTTAAATAAAGTAAATAAAGACTTTATATAAAGTCTTAAATACAGTGACATTTAAAAAGTAAGTTACTTTTTTTAAGAGATGATTGGACATAAGGTTATAAGGTTAAGATTGCTTTTGGAAATTTGCCTAAAAATACTGAAAAACTCAAATGTGAATCAACTGAGGGACAGTAAAGGTAAATTCCTGTTGAC